TCTTTTATATACCCGACTACCCTATATCTAGTAAATACTAGAGCATTCGCCAAAGTACAGGATAGTTCTAGAAACGTGGCGTCACAGTAGTCATGTGACTCGCTGACGCAACACGCTTATCACTTTGTGAACACGTATTCAGACGTTTCTGCGTAATCAGTTAAGTTTGCTTTCATTACGACTTTACATTCACTTTACTTTCCAAGAATTTAGCCTCGGTTCGTTTCATATATTGCTAAAAACACCTTTCAGGTACGTTTTTCTTTATTGCGAATTTTATTCATCGTTCATATGATTTTTTGTTTGTTTGTTTCAACTCTAAAACCGTGTCATACACTAAACGCCCATAACTGTTTCATATTCTGTACCGTTACTTTAGGTATAGTTTTATTAAATAAAGTTACGTCTAGGTGAGTGTGTTTGTTTGACTGTGTAAAATGTTTTCAAATAGACCAGGATTTTTCGATCTAACACATGATGCACAAGAAAGTGTAGCTTAAATTGTATGTGTGAAAATGATAGAATGAGGAAAATTCAAGCGAAGGGATTGAAAACTACCAATGTTTTGCGGGTCGCAGCTAGTATAAAATAATAGCTGACACGCAACTCCACAGTGACCTCTATAAATACATTCAAAATCCCGAGATGGTTTTCTAATATGTCTCGGCAGCTAACAGCAAGTGAAGTGGTTGTAAACAACTTTAAAGTTAGGCGTAACCTTGAATAGAGAAAGCTCACAACAGTTTCCAGAATAGTCCTTAAAATCAAGTTCTACAGCGACAAAGCTTTATTGGTAGTAATTTCCCTTCGTGACTTTTAAAATAGAAAAAAACAAAACATTCGTGTATTCGCTCTACTACGTATTTTTATCGCATTTCCAAATTTCTGTACATATATTAAACACATAGAATAATGTTTTTTGTTTTGCTTTCTCTTTAGGCTTAGTTTTAGAATAAATACGAATTATCTTAATTCTTATCTCTCTCTCGATTCCGCTAACTTTTTGTCTTAATTGAAGGCCAGGAAGTGCAGTCTACAGCCAGTTTCCCTGCACAACACCAGGGGAACAGCAGCATAATCAAAAATATAAAATAATTAACCCTTTTAACTTTTATGTGAATTAGTCTACCTTTATAAGTTATGGTATGACGTAACCACTTGAACTGGGAAAGCAACTTTTACGTCATGTTATCATTTCATCAGGGAAACATCATACATATTTTTCTCTCTAGCTTTTTAGTAAATATGACTGAAAAATGCTCGTTATTTTTTCCGCTCGATTTCATCACACACTCACAAACGCTTTTATTTTAAAGTTATTAACTTTTATATATCGAATAAAAACAATGGGTATACACCTTTATCTGTTTTCAGGTAGCAATGCCAGAATTTATCATATTCTACAGAGGGTTGAGTAAGTTTATTAAAATCATTTTGAACATGCAAAATAACAAGCCAAATGACACGCATAGTCGATATCAAGTCGCGGTGGGCACGATATGTATCAGAACTACATTTTGACTTTGTTTTACATAGGTAGCGATGATTCCACCAAAAATTGAACGATTTTTGGAAGGGTGTGTAACCACCCTTTCCGACACAAAATATTCAGATAGAGAATTTAGAATTTCCAAGACGGAAATACCTTTTTTACTTAATGGCATTGGAAAACAAAGGAATATGAATAAACTTGGAACACCAAGACCATCCAGAAAGAGTTCTGCAAAAGGTCGTAATCTAGCTGTGGTAAGAAAAATGTGGCATTTTTTAACATTTCATAATCTACGAACATAAAGGCCAGTGTTCAAATCCTTCCACGTGTCACAGCCAGCAGTACACAAGATAAACAGAAGGGATGTATTTATGGAAAACAGACATAAGTCACGTATATTACTTCCACGACATATTCGTTCAACCATCAGATAAGTCAAGCAGCTAAAGAGTGCTATTTTATGTGATTATATACTGGTGAAACACCAGCTTCAGCACTTATCAATTTCTGCACAATCAGACTGTTAAAACGAGTGCTAGGAAGATGTCGTCCTCGTACACTAAATGGATTGTGGAAAGTAGGCAGGAAAGAGTGGGGTGCTTTGATCATGAAAGTCTTATGACGGAGACTTTTATAATGGAAACTACACTATAGGGATATTTCTTTTCAAGATGTACCGTCTTCAGGTAGAGTATGACCAGACATGGCGACATGGACTGTAACGACGTGGTAAGGCTCCTAAATCATTTTAACATAACTTACTCAATCTCTGTATTACAGTCGGTATTATACAGATTTTGATAAATGATTAACTTTTTCATCATTTTAGTCTTGTTCTCATACCGGTGCCTTATAGACCGTTTCTTTTTTGGGCTGAACAACGAACGCTTTTATTCACATGCACTGCTTTTTCATCGCCTTATTTCATTAAGAAAATGTGTTTATAGTTTATATTACTGTTTTTGAAATGCGACATAAAACATATAGAATCAACATGAACATACAGACATACACACGTGTCTTACCCAGATGTAATACACATTAAAATTTATGGATGACCCCTCTACATTGAATCAATGCCAACATGGTAACATCAACGTTTGCCTTACTTTCTCCACGCAGACGTAACAGATGTTCTTCCAAATTGGATTGATACCTAACATCAGCACTGCATTATAACAGTGTGAGTATTAAAAAACCCATATGTTTTCATGAGTTTTTTTTTATTCCTAAAAAAATCTACAGATTTTCCATGAAGACCACACTAGCGTCCATGAAGACCACACTAGGAGTGATGTGTGTTTTGTTTTTGACTGTGGTCCACACACAGGGTCCAGGACGACGTATGCTATGTAGTGAGTATTGTTTTATCATCATGTGTACTCTCTGAAGTCACACCAAATAGTTGGTTGTTATTACGTTGTACCTTTTGTACATATAGTAGATAAATATTGTATTATCATCATGTCTACTCTCTGAAGTCACACCAAATAGTTGGTTGTTATTACGTTGTACCTTTTGTACACATAGTAGATAAATATTGTATTATCATCATGTCTACTCTCTGAAGTCACACCAAATAGTTGGTTGTTATTATGTTGTACCTTTTGTACACATAGTAGATAAATATTGTATTATCATCATGTCTACTCTCTGAAGTCACA